GCCGCTCTTCGCTTGCGGCGCAGTGGCATGCGGCAGATTCACTTCAAGGGCCAGGGCCAGCAGTGAGCCGGGACGTTACTCCATCGCCAAGATGTGCCGTCCGGCTCGCCGCCGCCCTCACGGCTGTCTGCGTCCCCTGCCTTTCTGTGGCTCCCTTCCCAGCCTTCCGCGGGGATGACTCCACCCGGCACGCTGAAGCTGGTAATTGCTTCAACCACCTCGTCACCCGCAGAATAGAAATCCCCACACCTTTCGACGGCCAACGCAGAAAACTCCGCACCACAGATCGCCGCATTGCACGGATGGTAGACCCCTCCCCTGCTATCAAGCACACTCAGCAAAGCCTTTAAAAAAAACAACAACTTTCCTTCACCTTCACCGTCACCTCGGAAGCCGCCGTGCATGCAGCTGCGCAGAATAACGTGAGGGCCAACGCGTCAAACAGCACATGGGGCACAGCTTTCCTTCGTGTCGCTTTGGAGTCTCCTTAGTGTGTGTGCGTGTGCGGTTTCACTGGTCTGCGTGGGGATGGAAAGGACGAACGCAAAGGTGCGCAAAAGAGAGAAATACAGCCAGCACAGCGCACCATGCACGTAAACAGAGAAAAGTTGGCAAAAGTATTAATTATCGTCAGCACAAAAAGTAATTGCCTCGTTTTTTTTTTTGGATTTACTGTCATGAGCGGGTGATTATCGCAGAAAGGGAGGAGAGTGTCACCGTCATGAATGGCGTTTCCCTATTGTAATTCGTGAAGACACCGTAATCCGTATTCCTGGATTGCCGAGTCTGTCGTTCTCCCCAAAACATGTTGAATAAGTTTCCCGTCTTTTTCGCGAAAGGCATCCTCAATTGCCAGTCGTGGATGTTGCAGCTGCATGAACCATGTCACTCGGGTAGCGACACCGTCCAATTTTTGGATGAAGCGCAGAGCGCTGGCTACTTGCGCGTGTAGAGCAAACTGCTCCACAAACGGCACGTAGCCGATAGACGGTTTGGAGGCGATGTGGCCGCCTAACACACCGCCAAGTTTTTCCGCCTCCGCCCACCTGCCAGCATCGCACAGGGCACGCAACTTGCTGTAGGTATACGTCTTCTCGGTGACGTGGTATTTGGCACGCAAGTCTTCTGCTTTTCCCTCGTCGCCGTGCAAGAGACAAAGGTAAAGGGTGCGTGCCACGCTACACTGGAGGAAGCGTTGGTCACCGTACTCTGCTGCAAGGCGTTTTTGCACCTCTACGAGCTCAAAGTGCATATTAAGCCACCTCAATTCATCATTTCTCGTTTCAGCAGAGATCGGTAAAAACACCAATGAATAGTTCCTTGTGGCACCGGCGGAAATGACCTTTGCAAGCCCTCCACTAGTATTATGTTCCATCTTCTGGGAGGTCCCTTAATGCAGCCAACGCGTCAGACAGAGACGGTGGTGCCAATACACGGAGTACTGCCTCGAGGTGCGGATCCACCTTTGTATTTGGGTGACCATCTCTCCTCACACTGTGAGATGTAGGAATTCGATTCGCGGTGCTGTCAGGTGCGTCTGCCTTTATCTGTGACAGTGCTGCTGGCTGCCTTGACGACTCCTGACTCGTTTCACGCTTGTCGGTTTCAAGCGAAAATGCAATGCAGCTACGAGCACAGTAAACCGCTAAGGTGGAGTCAAAGTGTGCTGTGCAGATTTCTTCGATCAGCGCTCGCCAAAGCGGAAGCAGGCGCGCCCCAAGCAGCATATATGCCAAAACCGCTGGGTAGTCCAGTAGCACATTGAAGAGCTTGGGGCGATCCTCCACTGACGCTATGGCGTAGACAAGTGCCAGATGGATGAGGTCGGCGTCATCGCCAAGAGCCGCCCAATGCACGGCAAGCTTCCACTGACCAATTAACAGAAACACTGTAACCTTTCTATGCACACTCAAATCCTCGTTGAGTAGTGCTGTGGCCAGTGCGCTGCGGCCGTGACGAAATGCGGCCAGAGAGCTCTCCGAGTAGCTGGCACCGGGATACCGCTGCATAACGTCGCGGATCTGCGCGTAGACAGTGTTTTCATCAAGTGCAGTGTCACGCACTTTGTGGCACGACCACTGTGAAAGCAACCGCAACGGCTCCATATTGAGAGCACTTGTGATATCGAAGGCCAGTTGGAAGCAACACCGATTGGACACACGATCCACCAGCACCTGAGCCTCAGAAGGCATGAGAGTGCGGACCTCCTCCAGCCCAGAAAGCCTACAGTATTGTTGAAAGGAAAGTGGCATCCGGCATCCAGGGTGGTTTCGCACGGCGTGAAGCACACACAGTCGCCGCACAATGTCCACAAATGCGTCGGAATCATACTGCCGATGCACTTCACTGGCAAAGGAGGCTGCGGCCAACAAAAGATGCTGCTTTTCCGGAGAAAACTCATGCTGCGCAGCATCCATAACTTCATCAATGATCCCAGAGAAGGTGGAGCTTCCCCAGCTTGAAAGTAAACGACAGACTCGCGGCAAGCGATTCCCTCTGTCCGCGCAAGCAGCGACCAACTGTGCAGGAAGGGATAATGGTTTGATGCGGCACAAAGTGACAAGACTTTTCGGCACCTGCTCAAGAAAGTAGCAGGCTTTATCGGTAAGAACGCGAACACCGTCGATTTCCGAAACAGTAACAACATGTCCACTGCCCTCGCGTTCCCAATCGAACCGTTCACACTTTACCGACGCCTCCGGCAAAGTCGGAACCAGCAGAGAGAACATTGGTGCGACCGTACGTGATAGGTAACCCTGATGAACAACGGCGTTGTTGAAGTGAAGCATGATAAATGATGACCCACACCACTCCATCTTTTCCGGTCCTCGGCTACGTGAACCCAACGCCAGGGAAAACTCAACAGAATCCAGATTACTCGACAGGACGTACAGTTCCGCCCGGTCCGTAAATAATGCGATACACAGGCCGGTGTGGTTGATCTTCATCGTCAAAACTCTACCAGGAATACACTTCCGTGCCTTTGCATGCAAGCCATGATTGGAGGTGAAGACATGCAGCGTGCTATCCCCTTTCTGGCAGTGTGACCTGGTTGTCAGGTAGAATACCGTATCAGCGTTGTCGTTCCACTCTGCTGGAATAAAGTCAAAGGTGGTGGGGAAAAGCCCCGCTTCAAGCTGCTCGGGGACCTGCAGCTTAGGGGGCTGGCGCTCGACGTGCATGACGCCCCGCAGCCACCCGTTTGCATCGATGCAGAACAATCCCTCCGGACGCATACAAGAAAGAATGGTTGAGGTAACCGCAGCATTCAAGGGGTTGGAAGATGTTGGAAACATGTTGTCTTGCAGCCGAATTGTGCAAGAGGAAGAGACGCCATCCAGGCTCAGCGAGGAACACCCCGTATAAATATCGTTAAAGAAAACACAGACTTCTTGGTCAGTTAGAATGACAAGGACCTCCTCCTTCGTCCATCCCATGTCGATGGGTGAACCCACACCACACGGAAGACAGAGCCTCGCCTGAAGCTCACCAGCACTCGTGTACACGTGCACTATGCCATCCACGTCACCGTCACCATCGGGCGGGGGCGGTGCAGCATGAATGACGGCGATGGAACCCCCAAATGGGGCTGCGCATGCAAAGGCACACATGGCCAGGGAGAAGGGAGAAGCCGCTTCCACAAATGGTCCCTCAGTGACATCCCAGAACATGCGGTCATACAGCGTGAGCTTCCGGCAGTATAAGTCAGAGGAAAAGGGGAACCATTCGCCCAGCCGTTCCACCATCACATGACGCCCCCCTCGCAGTGGAGAGACAGCACCGTTTTTCTCCTCTCGTACACAAAGCACCCTGACCGTAAAAACAAAACAAAAAACAAAAGGACGGTGATACAGACCTGCATGTACGCCTGCATAGTTGCAGAACAGAGACAAGATTTCTCGAAGAGAGCTCGCGCCACAAACATGCAGTACGACAAAAACGGCGCATACGGAAGGGGCGGACGCACACGCTGAGACCCCAACCCACCAAAACCACCAAAAAAAAAACGCCACAACATGCCCTCCCATCCCCCGCTTCCTTGACTACTTGCGTGGAGGATTTTTATAAGCGTCTAAGGCAGCTAAACACAACCGCAGCTCCAGTGCACTCCACTTCTGAGGACCCACGCATGGCACCCTCTTCGCCAACCGAGGTCCCGCAAGCTGCAAAACATCCGTCAGTGTCATATTCTTCACTCCCAACAAGTTGATGAAATCATGTCTTGGGTACACCAAGCTTGTGTAAAAGTCTGAGAAGAACTGCTGCTTCCTGTCGTCGTTGCCGGAAGAGAGAAGCAGCGTCTGCGGAGGTGTTTCGCACAACCACACGTAGCAGTCCTCCAGCCACCGGTAGAACAAATCGACAAGAAACGCCACGATGTCCTCCTCGCGTCGCAGTGAGCCCAGCGTCAGTGTGCTCCAATACCGCCCGGAGACAACAGAGAACACACGTCGCGGCTCAAAGGAGGACCCATTCCCGTTAATGTCAAAACCCGCCCCCTTTAGTGCACCATACACCGCCGCGGTGTGATGCATCAAATGCTCAAAGTTGTTCGCCGCAACGATGACAGTACCAAAAAAAACATGACTCCTTACTCCGCCCTGCGCCAGCTGAAGATTCACGTTCTGCAGTAGTGCATAAACATCGTCCCGCACACTTCTATGCCCTGGAGGGCCCCTCGTAAATCGATAGCCACGCACGCTCTTCGCGCTGGTCGCTGCCTCCGCCGGCGGGAGCAGAAACGCACTCAGCCGCTGGGCCTGATCGGAGAGCGGGATGATGCGCCACGGGGCACGAATATCAATCGACGTCACCAAAAGGGCGTCGTCAGACTCGCAGCAGCCAAAACGCACCACGCCGTCTAATTGTGCGGCCAGTGGTGGAAAGCGCGTGCCGGCTACAAGCCCACAGTGAAGCGCAGACCAGTCCATCACCACACCGTCCTCGTACCACTCGTGCTCCCACGCCATGCAATACACGCCATCAGTCCCGTCAAGCCCCTGCAGTGACTCAATATACTTTTCCTCCAGGGCCTGTGTGAGCCAACCTTGCATGATGCCCCTGTAAACTCCCTCTGTGAGGTGTGATGAACACCACCAAACACAGACAAACAATAAAATAAAAAGAAATAAATCACAAGAAGTGACACACAAAACAAGACATGAAAGCAACAAATAATGGCAAACAGAGGGCAAAGACCACAAAAAAAAAGGAGCCGTAACTACAGAGAAGCACATCTCAAGCAGCGTGCAGCAAATACCACCATACGCCCCATACGTCTTCACCACGCAAACGGAATACCCGGTGGCCTCACAACCGCCCAGCATAAAAAGTAAAAAACATCAAGACACTTCCCTTTTTTCTCTTCTCTACTCACCGACCCAGACAAAAGGAAACCGTCATCAATGACTGGGCACCAGAGATCAACAATAAAGCGCAAAGTTACCATAATCGCGAGGACGCGCAAAACAAACAGCAAGCGTCTTTTGTACCAGGAGAACTGCGGCCGTAGAGCACGAGCAAATGAAGAGAAAAAATAAAAGTACGCAATTTTAGGGCCAACATGGCATGCCAAAGATGATGCATCACCTACATTCTTCTCTTTGTGAGGGTCGCTCGAGTGAGTGAGCTACCCTGGGTAAAAAAAAAAAAAAACAAAGGAAAAGGAAAAGTGAAACATGTAATACTCATCAATGTGTACCTGCAGAGAAAAGTAACATAACTCTGCGTACAGTGTACCTAAAAATAAAGGCACCAGCTCACGACGCAAAATACCAGCAAATTTTGTTTTAACTTCCACTCCCTCGTAACCACGCAAGAAGCGTGGCATACACTTCGCGGAGTCGTTCTCCACCATTTGGTTTGTTTTCGAGTTTCCATAGGTACATTAACTCAATGGGATAAAACCCCACATGGTGGGATGTGGGAAAAAAGAAAGCAGTGGGTGCCAGAAGCGTTTTGGGGAGTAAGAAATATAGGGGCTTACATACACACATTAAATCCCAATACTCTCCCCCTACCCCCATCAAAAAAAAAAAAAAGACTATATAACAACAGCAACAAAGTGGGGAGAGACTTGTAACTAAAGTCCAGGTCCCAAACACCGGCAAACGTTATATATACGCCAGCTGTGCAAACGCATTACAGTGTGTAGGGGAAAACAATGCATATATATGTTGTATATCGAAGGAAAGAAAGTGGATGGCAACAACAAGTAGAATATGTTGCGCCAACCCCAAAAAGAAAAGCAAAAACAAAACAAAACCAAAACGATATATATATGAACCCTCATCCTCACCTCTCAAGTCTTCAGTATCGTGAGGCACAATCGGCATCCCAAAACCTACACCAGCCAATAAGGCAGAATAGTAAAGCTAGCAGGGGAAAAACAGATTATCCAAAAAAAAAGCATAATAAGGCACCCAGAGACCGCAAAAGGTCAGGTATTAAAGAAAAAGGGGGGAAAAAGCCCACATGGATTAAATTAGAGACGTATTGGGTCTAACACGCAGAATGGTACTTCGCTTCGCAGACGCAGGATTCCACGGCCCTAACTCAGCATGATCAATAGAGGGCGATGTAGACACCACTCTAATGGAGAGGGGCTCCAACGAAACACGGCTGTTGAACATACAACAGAACGCCTCGCTCCGCGGCCGTGTTTCCTCCACCTGTTTCGCGTTGTTGGGCAAGACCGTATGAGAGAAAATACGCACACCCTCCCCATAGGAATGGAATGGGGAGTGCATAGGCTCAGAAGTTTCATTGACAGGACTGGATACGGGAAAGCTATTCGCGCCGAAGGCAACAGCGCTCTTTGCGTCTTTGTTAGCGACAGCTGTGGGGGCGGCGGGGTTGTTACCAAAGCTACAATTCACCAGTTGCACCCCACGACCGTGTTTGCTCCATCCACGCATAGATGCGTTAGCCTTCGCCACGCCACTCGACGCAGCATTGTGGAACCTCCTTGAAACGCCCTTGTTGGGGTATGACAGACCATGGTTTCCGTACAATGAAAACCCAACTCCATCCGCAGAAACTCGCATGACACCTGCACCCACTAACTTGTGTAGCAGCGCTGAGATGTTGGCGTGTACGCGCATTCTTCGGGCCAACTGCGAGGTGGGATTCCTCGCCGCTTTCAACCAGTTCCAAATACGTCTCTGCACCAGATATCTGCGCCCCACTCTTTGAATGAGCGCCAAAGCAAAAAGGCGACGTTCCTCTGCACGGGCCTCCCTTGAGCGCCACCACCGAATGATTGTTGCGGCAGCGCGTCGTCGAGTCTCCACAAGATATTTCCTGTCTGGGAACCGTACCAAACGTAGATGTGAGTTGAACTTTCGACGTTGTCCAATTGGGGTTAAGTGGTATTCGTCCGAGAAACTCAGCGTCGGTGTGACGCAGGAACAGCCAAACAGTCTCACCAGTGGCAGCGTATCGTCAAATGTAGTTGCCTGACTTGCCGATGAAATCCACGACAGGGAGGGAGGACTCCGCTGCGCCTCGCTGTCTCCCTCGTATCCGTTTCCTGCCTCGTGTAATACTGCAAAATTAGGAAGAGACCAACTCAAAAAACCGGTGCTGGTGTCGGACGCAGGGTGCGTACCACGAGACAGAGACCTAGCGGAGCTGTCAAGGTTACCTCTTGGCCGTGGCAACCAAACACGATGGCTCAGCGAGTAATCCACTGAAGTCGACCGTGAACTTTGCCGGCAAGGAAGAAATAATTGATACCACGCCGGCATGGCTGTTCCCCCCATGGAAAGAGAGTCGCTCTCCATGTCCAACGTACTATTGCCCAGCTCACCCATCCGTCAGTCCAAATCCACTAGTTGTCCTCCACCAATTGAGAGGAAAAATAATAATAATAATAAAGAGACAGCATAACAAAGCAACGAACGAACAAACAAACAAAACGCCTTCCCACCCTGGGACTAGACTGCAGGGCACAACACTTCAGCAGCCGTTCCTTTTGGTTGTATATAGTGCAGGAGCATCAATGATGGCTCGCTGTCAAACCGTATTCAAACGCAGGGAACACATGAGAACACGATAGCCATCGTCTCCCATCTATCCCATCTAATCCTCCTTTCCTTCACTCTCTCTCTCTCTCTCTCTATCTCTCTATCTCTCTCCACTGGGGATAACACAGCTCAGCACGCGTAAGGTTCGTCCCCCTCTTTTGGATCCAAAGACGCAGCTCACACCTCCTTCCGCATTTCTTCTAGTACCAGTCGCACGAGATTCCGTATGATAAGCCCAACATCGTTATAATTCGCCACATGCGTCAACAACTGATGTTTGATGCAAGACGGCTTCACCCCGTTGCAAAGCTCACGAACCTTGCGGTACTCCTCAAAGTTGTTTTCCTTTAAAAAGGTGATGACGTAAATGTCCTTAGGTTTCACTTGAAAGAGGTCCTGCAGCGTCCGGTACAGCGCGTCCCGGTGCGAGACGCCGTGCAAAATGGCTATCGGCTTCACCATCAGCTGGCACCTGTCCCCCACCACAGCACAGTCCCGCTGCAAGTGCTCCACAAGGGCGTCCGCGGCCCCGCCGCACTCCGGGTCGTCGTACGTCAGCAGCACGATGAGAGAGCGCGGCATCTTCTGGCCAATTCAAATGCGCCAAAGATTAAAAAAAAAGAGAAAAAATCAAATTTTCCCTTTTCGCTTCGGGCCGCGACGACTATTGCCCTGTGTCTCCCTTGGCTTCAAGATCCATCCACACACAGCCACAAAGAACGGAAACAAGAACAACAAGAACAACTACATGAAAAAAAAGGTTAATATCCGTCGATGGTTATGCACTATGAACAGACGCTATCCACTTCCCCCTCTTCTTCGGTCCAGGGAAAGAAATTGTTATTTAGAATGGAAAATGAAAATAAAAATTAAAAATAATTTTCCGGAAACATTCCCCCACAATGTGTCGCTTAGAACAGTCCAGCCATGCCGAAGTCATCATCATCTTCCTCGTCCTCAGGCTCGGCGGCAGCAGCAGCAGGGGCAGCGGCGGCGGCGGCGGCGGCGGCAGGGGCAGCAGCATCAGCCGCACCACCACCAAGCTTGCCCTCCAGAGCGGCCTGGCGCAGGTTCTTGCCGTCGAACTCGTCGAATTCGTACTCGGTGGCCACAGAGACGCCGAGGAGGTTCTTGAAGGCGTCCATGATCATGTGTGGCAGCGTGGCCGCCGTCGGGATGCCAGCACCCAGCGACATCGCGGCGACGCTGCTGATGCCGTCCAAAAGGAACTTCTCTACGACTTCGTCGGTGATAGAGAGATCCTCACGGAGGAACAGAACACCACGGTCCCACACTGACTGCACCTCCACCTGGTAGTAGAATGGGGAGATATCCAGCT